CGGCTTCCCCAAACCACAAAGCAGACTCCTTGTCCCGAGAAAACCACTTTTTATTAAGTTACTATGAATTCTTCTCACTCACCTCCAGCAAAGTCTTTCAAAGGTGAATTTACAGTCACAGACCTTATCTGGCTTGGAGAGCTGCCAGGACAATCTCTGCAGAACTTGGCAAGGAGCCTCGGAGAGTCACAAACCAATGAAGCGAACTAATTGTCTCCTGCAAACTCCACTCCCCTTTCACTCCTCTTTTATTTCCTCTGGGAGGGGCCATTCATCGTGCACCTGTGGCCTTACTCCCAAGTCGACCCCTGTTCTTTAACTGTTCTCTTCATCTGGCAATTCTCTGGGAACAGGCTCCAGCTGTTCTTCTGCCTCACTGATGTCTCTGAAGGCAGCTGAGAACTGTCAGACGGCCTTGGCCCCCTCTTTGCCTCCGACGCAGAGCCCCCATCCGAGCCTTCCCCAGACTCCAGGACTGGCCCCTCACTGTCCGACCGCTACCAGCTCTCTCTGCTGCTTGCTGGCGGGTCACAACAGAATGTTCCAAAGCCACCATGTCAATGGCCAAAAATTGGCAGCCACCGCCGACTTCAGAAGCAAAGGAAACCAATATGAAAGTTCAAACATGTGACACCCAGCCGAAGTTCTTGGAAATTTGCCTTTTGCATAAGAATCGTCCTTACATCATTCTGGTCATGCTTCGGCTCCCAAAGTACTACACGTCCCTATAAAGTTGGCAAGCCTAGACCCGTGTCACTGCGTTGCTGAATGACCTTTCGGCCTTTACGGGTCCGGCCTTGGCAGGACAGCTCTTGGTGGGGCGCGAGATGACTCATGACTTGGTGGCACTGTTTTCCCTGTTGGCACAATCAAAGGACAGCAGAGTTCTTTGTTGCGTGTCAAACGAGGACTTTGGACTTTGCGTGGAAGCGGCCCAAGTTGTCCATCCACACTTTTTTTTAAATCAAATTTGGTGTGGGTTTAGCTGCTGTACCAAAGTTCATGTTTTCTTTGGATCTTGTTTTCCCCTAAAGCTTCCACTTTTTAAAAATGGCATGGAATGGAATAGAATAAAATAGAAAATGGAATGGAATATGGAATTGGAATGGAATATGGAATGGAATGGAATAGAATAGAATAAAGAATTCAATATGGAATATGGAATGGAATGAAATAGAATAGAATAGAAATTAGAATAGAATAAGGAATAGAATAGAATAGGAAATAGAATAGTATAGAATAGAGAATTCAATGTGGAATATGGAATTGGAATATGGAATGGAATAGAATAGTAATTAGAATAGAATAAGGAATAGAATAGAATAGGAAATAGAATAGTATAGAATAGAGAATTCAATATGGAATATGGAATGGAATGGAATAAAAAATGGAATGGAATATGGAATGGAATTGGGATATGGAATGGAATAGAATAGAGAATGGAATATGGAATGGAATAGAAAATGGAATGGAATGGAATAGAATAGAGAATTGAATATGGAATGTGGAATGGAATATGGAATGGAATTGGAATGGAATGGAATAGAATAAAGAATTCAATATGGAATATGGAATGGAATAGAAAATGGAATGGAATGGAATAGAATAGAGAAT